CCCCTACATCTTGCCGCATCGCACCGAGATAAGAATAGACAGTAGTGCATTATCTTTCAATCACCGCGCGCGACATCCGCGCGCTTTATTATTGGGCCGCGCTGTGACTCGTGCGGTCCGTCCTCTACCATTCAGCGTGCGTTTTTTTTTAATTTTTTAAATTAATATCTCGACTATTATTGCGAATATAGCAAAACGGTATAGAAATTTTATGTTCACATCAATCCATTCTACGTCCTCACAAAATGCCCGGAGGAGAGTGTATATATATACAGGGTGTCCCACAACTGGTAGAACATCCGTTAGAGGTAGATAGGGGGTGCAATTTTGAACTGAAAATTCCTTTTCCATTTTTAGATCCGACAATTAGTTAATGAGATATTAATCAATGAAGTTTGCCAATCCCTTACCCCACAAAAACGTACGTCAAATTCACGTCGAATCCACATAGAGTTCACGTGGAATCCACGAAATCACGTGGATTCCACGTGGGTGTAACGTGCATGTTTTTGTGGGGTAGCGCCCTGAGTGAGCGCTCAGGGACGTAGGATGCTATGGATTCCTCAGGAGCCCTGCTTGTCTGTTTTTCTCTCCTTTTTGTATACACCTACTAAAATCATTCACCATACTTAACCACCGACATGCAGAAAACTTTTAAGTCACCCGCGCACTCAAAAGAAGCATACCACACATACTCTCCCCCTCCGGCACATAAAGTGCAATCGCTTCGTCCACTTGCACTAAAAATATTCAAATTATCCATGCACTCATAACCGCACACAAAAACACTCATACATCACCCTCACACATTGAAAACTCGCCACCTCTCTAGCTCCGGTCAGGCACCCATCCACACACCCACTCACTCACTCACTTATCCCTATTTATTTCTCTGTCATATAAAAAAGAGGAGAAAAGGCAAGACCCCTAATAACGCGGACAAGCAGGGCCCCTAAGTAGTCCACCGCGTCCTACAGCCTTGAGCGCTCACTCGGAGCGTTAAGGGATTGGTAGACTTAATTAATTAATATTTTATTAATTAATTGTTGGATCCAAAAATGGAAGAGGAACTTTCAGTTCCAATTTTTATCCCCTACCTACCCCTAACGGGTGTTCTATCAGTTGTGGGACACCCTGTATATATAGTTCTTTCAGAGCCCACGAAACTGTTTATTGCGATGTCGCGGCATTATATATATACATATATAATCAAAATTCCAAGCAAAATAATAATATTTCTGCAAAGATTACGTCCTATTAATTGAACTGAATTAAAACAATTTTACTTTGTGAAAGTACGTACGAAAATAAAACGGAGCATCCAACAATATGAGACGAAAATGATAACGAATAGTTATTATCACGACATCAAATCTTTCTGCAAAGTTTACTTCTTTCTACCTGCGTCGAATTAAAAATCTTTTTGCATGATGAAAGTACGTGTGAAAATGAAGCGGAGCATCTATCAATACGAGACGAAAACGATAATGCACAGTTACTATCACGACATCGAATCTTTCTGCAAAGTTTACTTCTTACTACTTGCGTCGAATTAAAAACCTTTTTGCATGGTGAAAATACGTGCGAAAATGATGCGGAGCATTCCACAATATGAGACGAAAACAATAATGCACAATTACTATCACGTAATCGAATCTTTCTGCAAAGTTTACTTCTTTCTACCTGCGTCGAATTAAAAACCCTTTTACATGGTGAAAATACGTGCGAAAATGAAGCGGAGCATCCATAATATGAGATGAAAACGATAAGAAAAAATCTATTTTTTTATACATATTTATGATATATCTCTAAGTGATGATATGTATATAATATATCTATATACGGAATGGAGACGATCGTCAAAATATTACATTTGATAAACGCAACGTGACATTCACACCTACTTAACGTCTATGTGTAAGTAAATTGAAATAACAACGTAACACACACACTTGCATAACATTTGTAAAGGGACGATATATGAAATCATAATTTGGCGCAATGGTAGCGCGAACATGTTGGCACTTATCAAATGTAACATTTTGACAATCGTCTCCGTTCCATATATAGATATATTATAGACATATCGTCACTTAGAGATATATCATAAACATGTATGAAAAAATAGATTTTTTCTTATCATTTTCGTCTCATATTGATGGATGCTCCGCTTCATTTTCGCACGTATTTTCACCATTCAATAGGGTTTTTAATTTGACGCAGGTAGAAAGAAATAAACTTTGCAGAAAGATTCGATGTCGTGATAGTAACTGTTCATTATCGTTTTCGTTTCATACTGATGGATGTTCCGCTTCATTTTTGCACGTATTTTCACCATGCAAAAGGTTTTTTAATTCGAGATAGAAAGAAATAAACTTTGCAGAAAGATTCGATTTCTTGATAGTAATAGTGCATTATCGTTTTTGTCTCATATTTTTGGATGTGCCGCTTCATTTTCGCACGTAATTTCACAGTGCAAAATGACTTTTACTTTGGTCCAATTAGCACGAAACAATAGTTTTGCAAAAGTATTCGGTATCACGTCAACAACATTTCCCAACAAATTTTAATTTGTGTTGACTTGACCATATTAAAAATGCTTTTATATAGTAAGGATACATGTATAAATGAAATAGGGCATTCCTCTTTCATGGATGAAAACAATGTGGAACTGCTTCTATCGTGACACTGATTTTATTTTTCAATAATTATAGTTTACTAACTGCTCCAATTTATATGGTAAAATTACATGTGAAAATAAAATGTAACATTGGTCAGTGCGAAATAAAAAAAATATCTTAAATTACCGTTACTAATTATATTGAAATCTCAAATAATAGGTAACGTATTCTTTAAAATATTATTCGCAAACTACGCTTGCGCCTACAATACTCTTTTCTAAAAACTTTTTCTTTGATGCACTCAGTACACAGGCGGTTTGAAGAATTCATCAGAAAAGCAGCAAAAGCCTGTTTTAGAGAGAATCCGAATATCGGCAACGTGGCATTCACACTTATGTAACGTCTATGTGTAAGAAAATTGAAATAACAACGTAGCACATATACTTGCATAACAATTGCTTTCACATCTGTGAAAGGATGCGATATCATGTTAGCGCCTATTTGATGATCGTTTTATTCTATAAGTATACAGTGTGCGGCGCCAAAATCCGGACAAATTATACATTTTTTCCAAACATATTTTTTATTGCAAAAACGAAAAGGTTTACAAAATTTTTTTAACCACATTGTTTGTAAGGCTATAAAGAATACATTTACTTAATATATCCCCCACTTGCTTGAATGACCACCTCCATTCTCGGTCTGAAGTGTGCGCAGGCACGCTTTAATGTGTCACGGTCCATATCGGTGAATGCCGCTTCAATAACAGTTCTCTATAATGCGACATTTGGATGTCTGGACTTGTTCGTGACCCTTTCAACTACGCTCCATACATAGAAGTCCAAAGGATTCAAATCTGGACTCTTGGGAGACCAGAATTCTTTCGACCAAAACATGTCAACGTTCTCCGACAACCAATTTTGCACCAAATGACTTGTGTGGGCGGGCGCACCGTCCTGCTGGAAAGCATACGGCTTTCCAGACGACACAGTTTCCATCCACGGCTTCACTACATTTGTCAGAACACGCAAATAAACTTCTTTTGTGAAATTTTCTCCTTTGTTAAAGAAATGCGATGGCATGACATCACCCTCACTGGATGATGTTGCAAAACCTTCGTTGGACTTCTCCGACTCATTGTACTTTGCGATGACATCATACATAGTCGATCTCGGGTACCCGAAGAACCGAGTGATTTCTGTCGCCGAGCGCCCAGCGCGAACACTTTCGATAATCGCGGCTCTTCGGTTATACTCCGCACTTGGTTTTAATATTGCGACTGTTTCGAGGTTATGATGGTTTAGTACATGCGTCAAGCTATTTGAACGCTAATCGCGACATATACCAGTGGTATAGAACGGCGAGAATTTCAAATTGAATTTTATCCGGATTTTGGCGCCGCAACCTGTATATGTGTATATAAATTCGATATCATTGGTAAATGAAGATAACGTTTTCTACTTTTTGACGATCGGTCTACGTTATTGACGCTTATCAAGTTTGTCGCTCGCTCCGGTATCCCCCAAAGGCATTTTTCTTTCCGCTGCCGTTTTCTGATTTGTTGGGACAAAATAATTAATTTTTTAAAAACTATTGCGAATATCGCAAAACGGCACAGGATTTTCTTGCTCACCTCAATCCGTTCTACGTTCTCACTAAGGGTCATCATGGAGGTTCGGGATACCCTATATATCATCAAATCGCATATATATGATTAACACACTACCAGCATTTGTTCATGGCTTAATGGATATATTATGACTCATAAATAAGATATCTGCTTGCAAGTTGTTTGATATTCATATATAACTTCTTTACACATCTTGATTTTACATGTGTTTCACGTTTTTAAAGGGAAATCGCACATTTTCGCGAACCATTTAGTAGCTTTATTATGAAGCAATGGGATAAGATTATGTATAAACAATCTTCGTACGTGATTTGCTGGATATTTATACGCGCAAAATATTTTCCATGTTATGTTTTATTTATGAAATTTCTTTTGTTAACAACTTTTTAATAAACAATGAACGACGATTAAAACTTTTTGAGGATTATTTACAGTCATCATATTGACAGAATATGTAAACGTCAAGATCATTGAAATTAAATCCTCTTTTATAAACATTTACCGTAAAGTTATTTTTAAAATAAAAATAAAATGAAAGTATAATATCCATTAAGTCATTCTACTTTTTTCTCTAGAATTCTTTTTTTAAGAATGCATTAAATATTAATTGTTACAGTTTCGTATCACATCTTGTATTAAAAACAATACAAGCAATACTTACAATACAATTGTAAGATTAATAGACTACTTTGTAATTTTTTGCTTAGTGTATCTCTAATAACTGTTTTTAATTTTACATATACTTTCAGGTTTGCCGAAGCAATGTTTGTTTACCAGTGAGGACTCATTACTGTTTGAATTCATTTTCTGCATGCAATAAAACCAAAATACCAGGATTTTGCATGAATTCTACATGTATAAATATTGTAAAAGGTTTGAAGTATATAATCGACCATAACGGTTCCGCTGGTATTAACAGTATTGATGCATATTTCAACATGGGCAATGTTTCTCATACTTTCTATCAATACTTTGAAGTCCAATACAGATGGATAAATACGGATAAAACAAAAATCTTCGCTCGTAGTGGAAATCCTGGCTATTTAATAGGCAAACCGATTATTGTTGGATTATCTCGCACCAATGAAAGTGACGAAATTCTTTTTAACAAGTCCGACGCATTTCTTACATTACCATTGACTGGAAAGAATGGAGAGTGCGATAAATATATTGTTGCTTTTGGTGAAGATATTAAATTAAAATGTTCCGTTAAATTCTTTAGTAAAAATTTCACCTCGACATCTTGCTCAAAACTACAAAATATAACAATGTACCTCTTAATGAAAGATTCCTTGTTAAATATGAGTCAGCGTTACGGCTTGTATGTTTCTAAACTAGGTAATTTTACTAGTACAGATTTAATGGACTGGTTGCGTATTATGTTTGATAGGATACCACAAAATGTTGTGACTGCGCGCACTATCGGAAAACAGATAACATGTTCAGGATTAATTACATCTTTACACTTAGATATCCTTTATTCCGCATTACCAAAGTCGAAAACATTGATGAATTATAAAATATTGGGTATCGGTGTTACGTTTGGTGAAGAACAGGATATTACTTGGTCAAAGTGTACAGTAAAAGATTGTACGAACATCCTTCATGTTGATATTCTTTCCTACGTGAATTTTCATGACGTTTCGAAACCATCTAAATATTATTTTGTCGGTGGACCTAATTTAGACATTACATTGCCTTATGATTTCTTTTATCCTTTTTTGAATGGCTCGAAAAAGGTAGAAGTATCAATTATATTAATTGTAATTGTAAATATAAGTATATATAAGTATATTTAAGTACACATACTATATAATATATTGCACAACTTAATTTTAGTTAATATGTTAAACATCATATCATTAGTAATCAAAGAGAGTAAGGTGAAATAAAATTTGGAGAAAATAGGAAGGACGATAAAGAGGAAGGAGAAAGAAAGTATAAAATATGAGAAAGCATAAAATATGAGAAAATATAGATAGAAGGGAAGTGATGAAAGTGGGACGAAGAAGAGATATTGAAAGGTAATACGGGAAATAGGAAAAGATTATGGAAAGAAAAGATAGTAGACGAAGGAAAAGAGAGAAAAGTAGATGGTAAAGAGCCAAAAGGAAAGGGTAGACGAAGGAGTGGCGTTTTAGAACATTATCGGATATCCGAGAAGAGGGATAAAGAATTTTGAAAGGGATTTAGGGAATAAAAAGCGGTGGTTATGATAGAAACATGGGCGAATGAAAAAATGTTGAAGAATGCAATTGGTTTTTATCTTATAGTGAATTATAAGATCTTATAATAAAATAACTAGTTTTTATTTTATAGTAAACACGTTTAGGTTTTTTTTGCATATATAATTTCCTACAGTTCTGCTTATCTAAAAGTACTCATAAAGAGAGGGCACAGGAATCAGGAAACGGATTCGAATGGAATATATTTCTATAATAGTTTTTGATTAGTAGTAAAATATAGCAAAGAATTAGAATGTAACTCGCAGCTGTTTTTTGAGAAAAATGGATTCGAAAAATAAACAACCATACACTGGGAGAAAAAAATAGTTGGAATAACTATAATCTCACTATATTTTATAGTTCGTATTGGCCTCAAACATATATTTATAGTTCATTTAAATATGAAGATATAACAGAATGTACATAGATTTATAGTCACCATCTTACTCTATATATATAGTAAAGCACCCTTTAGGAATATAGTTACATGCACCTATATTTGCTAAATATTCCAATTGTATTGATTATATAAAATAGTTAATTTTTCTTACCATTCAATATTTGCTATCATATTATATTTTTTATTTCAAATAATTATAATTTTTGGTAAAAATTTTACATGGGCCAGTTATACTATGCTTATATTGTAAATATTACAAATATTATGGTAACATTTACTATAAAAATTATATTCCTAACTATAATCTTTTTACTATGCTATTATACAAATATCATACATATTTCTCTCACAAGTAAACCTACGGAAGTGTCACTCTCCGATTTTTCTAAAATTTGGATATGTTATAATACATGAAAAAGTAAGGGACACGTATTTTTTTTTAGCGGCGGAAAAA